TCTAGGGGCACTTATGCTATCACGTTCGATTCTTATTTCGTTGAATTGTATTATATCGGCAGCAGGATTTGGCGAACTGTGATAAGTGGATGATTCCATTGATGATATATTTGGTATGGGTCCTCCGTGGTGAGCCGCTGCGGTTGTTGTTGTTGTTGCTAAATTTATATCCGCATCTATTTCGCTATTTTCATCACCGAAACCTGAAAATCATTTATTTAAATAAGAGAAAACGATTTGAAAAAAATTTATTTCAATTAGGAATGAATTCATTATCAATTTCTTTAATGATGAATTGATTATGATTGACTTACCGTGTGGTATTGTTGAATCATTTTGCGAAGAATAAAATTTAGCTTCTCTAACGGCTCTATATTTTTGAACCATTAGTCTTGCTATAACAATTGCTAAAACTAATAGTAAACCGGAAGTTATGCTTAATATTAAATATAAATACATTTTTTCTTCATTTTCTGAAAAAAATAAAAATAATAATAAAATTTTATTTTCATTTCTTACGCGATGATGACGTCAATTTTTTTTTTGCCTCCACGTCGAGACAAAAACCTGGAGAGAAAAAAGAAATAATAATAATAATAATAAACTCGAATAAATTGAGTCACGAAAAAAAAAAAATTGATTTCAGCAATCTTATTTAAATCTCTTGAGAATTAATAATTTTTAATCATTTCATTTCCTTTTCTTTAACTGAAACAAGACGAAAAATTATTTATTTATTTATTAACTTTTTATTTTTTATGTATAAATAATTAAATAAAATTATTATTAAAAAAATGAGTGAAAACGTTCGTTAAGCCGACGACAACGACGACGACGACTCATTTAATTAAAATTTATTTTTAAAAAAAAAAAAAAAATGAAAATATCGATCGATAAAATTATTTATTTATTTATTAATTAATTAATTTCGATTATTAATAAATAGATAAATAAATAATTAATAAAATAGGTTTTTTTTTTCATTTAGAAAAATCCTTTGATGATTATTTTAATTAAATAAAATTAATAATTAAAAAAAAATTAATTTATTAAAGGGAAATAAAAAAAAGAATTATTCATTTATTTATTTAAATAAATAAATTTTTTTTGTTAATAATAATAATAATAAGTAAAATTTGTTAAATTCGAAACAATAAAATTATTTATTTGATTACAAATGTATAAGGTGTTAAGTGGTTAACCATCACCACCACCACCATCACCACCGGTTGTTGCGCTTTAAATGATATTTGTTTCGGTTGTTTCGTAACGTCTCCCTTTATTATTATTATTATTATTTTACACAAATTAAATTAAATAAAAAAGAAGGTATTTTTATTTATTCCACGAAATAAATTTTTTGTAAATAAACTAATAAGAAAAAAAAAAAATGAAAAATATGACGTCGCGTCTGAAGAGTAAAAAAAATTCAGCAAAAAAAAGAAAAATATTAAATTTAAAATTATTTCTGGAAAAAAAAAAGAAAAAAAATTTCGACTGGAAATCTATATATATCCATCCATATACGTATATTTTATCTATTTTTTCCCTTCAAACTTAAATTCAATAATAAAAAAAAAAAGAAAAAAGAAAATTGTATATGTATTTTATCAATAAATAAAAAAAAAGAAAAACTTTTCCTACAGATAATTTCATTGGTAACCAAATTTCCCCTTTTTTTTTTTTAATGGATTATTTTGAAAGAAAAAAATAAGAAAAAAAAGAAAATCTTTTTTTTTATTTCTTTCTTATTTTTTTAATTAAATTTTCAATTAAAAAAAAATTTAAATTTAAATTTAAATTTAAAACTATAAAATTTTTAATGTCTTGTTGATTACAAAATTTTCAATTTCAATTTCGATTCACAAAAAAAAAAAAAAAAAATTAAAAAAAAAAAGACTTCGTGAGATGTTTTTTTTTTTTTTCAGGAGGGGGGAAAGTGGGGAGGGTTTTTTTTTTATCCAAGAAGGATTAAAATTGAAAAAAATAAAATAAATAAAATAATTATTTATTTTAAACCTTTACGTTACGTTATGCTTTTAAATTGTTTTTTTTTCTTTTCAATTTCTTCATCCCGTAATGTGTTTATATCAATAAATAAATTCGATCCCATGTATTTTGCCACGTTGCCATGTTTATTTTGTAAAATAATTATTACCACAACCCCCCCTTTTTTTATTGACTCAGGGGATGCATTTCGCCCACTAACTTTCCCACCTCGGTATGAAAATTTCTGGTCGTGTTTTACCGTGTTCTTTTCCAGAGGGAGGGGCATTCACGGGAGTACGATTTGTATTTCCCCCCCAGTCTCAACCCACCCCCTCTTAAATCAGAACCATCATGTACACACTTGCGAAAGTGGTAAAGATCCCAGTACCCTTCGAGAGACAGTCCCGAGCTGTTACCATCATTCACGCCCCTTCCGCAGTGTCTGCGAATTTCCGGGAAGAGAGAGAGAGAGAGAGAGAGATGTCCGGGAGTCGCGAATCCCGTTAATCATTCATCCGTTGCAGCTAAATCAAGTCTTACCCCCTCGAATAAGGGTCTGCACATCCCCACGCCTCGAAAAGATGTAAGGTCACTCACTTATACCCTTAAATTTTTTACCACCCCCCCTAATTTTTTTTTCTTTTTCTTTTTGATAATAATGATAATAATGATATTAACAGATACGTTAAAATATTATTCGAAAAACCGAAAAAAAAGGAATGATAAAGAGGAGATTATTACTTCTAGTGCCACTTTTTTTTTTTTTTCACTTTTCCAAAGTTTTTTATCGAATTCTTTTGTTTTTTTCGTATAAATAAATTGATAATAATAATAATAATAATAAATACTAATTATTAAAGCGATAATTTTTTTTTTCTCCCTTTCCATTTATTATAAAAAAAGCCAATTTATTAATAATAATAATAAATTCATTAAAATGAAAAAAAATAATTTTTTTTTAAACTCGATAAAAAAAATATTTTTTCATCCGAATCCGTTAAAACGACAGAACAACAGCAAGAAAACAAAAAAAAAGGAAAAAAGAAAATTTTTGACTCGGAATCTTTTTTGCCCTTTCAAATGAAGTAACATTTAAGCTTAACTAATGGCCGTAGAATAAGGACCGGAAAATAAATCTTCAGATGTTCTTTTTCCCCTTTTTTATTTTATATTATTATTATTATTATTATTAAAAAAGTAAAAGCTGGCAGAAAAATAAATATATATTTAAAAAAAAGGAAAAAAAAAACGGTTTAATTTATGATTGGCCGAAAAGAAGAAAAAGAAAAAAAAAAAGAAAAAAAAAAGCATGCGAGGGAATCCCAAGGATATAAATACAAAACCTACACGACCCCCTCCCCGTTCTGCCCCCCAACCCCCCCGATTTCGTCGTTCCCACCTATTGATACAACCTACATCTTTTTTTTTTTTTTTCATTCTGTTATTTATTTATTTAAAAAAAGAAAAAATAAAAAAGTTTGTCGGATTTGTTTCTGTTGTTGTTATTTCCCACCTCATTCATCCGCCATTAATTTTTTATTTTTATTTTCACGCGATTTCTTTTTCATAGAGTAAATAAACAATTCAAGTTAAAGATTTTAGTATTAAAAACATTTGATAAATTATTTTTCGAGTTTCGAATAGTTTATTTATCATTTTCGGGTGAGAAAACAACAGTTTTATATTTTTGTCTTTATAATTAAAAATTTAAATTTTTAATAACTCTAGTTAAGTAAAAACGAATTGTTATTTTAAAATATTTTTTTTCTTTTTGTATTCCTTACCTTCCCTATCTCTTTCTCATATAATAATTAATTTTTACACACTAAAACCCAACACCGTAATTTTTCATAGAGTAATTAAACACTTCAGATAGAAAAAAAATTTTTTTTCATACGCATACGAAAATTCAATTTAAAATCATTTTTAATTTTTTTTTTTTTTAATACTCTATGCTAAGATAAAATAAATAAAACGAGATTTTTATTTCATAGAGTAAAAAAAAAAAAAAAACGTAGAAATTTATACGTTTTTTACACGTTAACACGAGAGAGAGAGAGAAATTTTGTTATGGATAATTTTTCTTTTTTTTTTTTTTTGGTACGCATCGGGTTAAAAATTTGAAAAATGAAACGCAAGCGTAAAATTGTTTACTCGTAAATTAAGAAAGGAAAAAAGGAAGAAAGAAAGAGAAGAAAAAAACAATAAAGAAGAAAAAAAAGAAAAAAAGGTTTCGAATATTTAAAAAAAAAAAAAGGTTTGAAACGATAACGCGATATAAAATTTTTTTTTTTTTTTTTCCCAACTCATCATAAAATAAACGATTTATATATATATTCTTAAGACTTATTTCACCTTCGAAGTTAGATAACCTTTTTAGTAATTGATAAAAGGAAAAAAATGGAAATGTGCAACCGCACCGATTTTCACTCGAAAAGAGAGAGAGAGAGAGGGAGAGAGATAGAGAATTCGTGCGTGTGAGTGAGTGAATGAGTAGGTGAAAAGTTAAAAGAAGAAGAAGAAGGTAAAAAACATGGAAAATAACTCATTTTGAGTTGAAATGAATTTCTTTTTTTTTTACTCCTTGGCGGAATCTCATGGCGAATTTTTTTTTTTCGGAAAGAAAGAGAGAGAGATAGAGAGAGAGAGAGAAAGAGAAAAAGCTCCCCCGAGATTCATTTCATTTTAAGCTCGATGTTTCAACGTTTTTATTAAAAAAAATAAAAATAACAGAAGGGAAAAAAAAAGAATAAAAAAAAAGAAAGAAAAAAGGCGGAAAGGATGAGAAAGAAAGAGAGAGATATAAAAAAAAGATAGAAAAATAGATATAGATGCAGAAAGAGAGAGAAAAGCAAATACAACCTTTCGAAAGCGAACAGAGCGTGTAATTAGGATATCCAGAAATAATTTTTTTTTTTTTTTTTTGTAAAAGTTTATTTAATTCTCATATTTTTCTACAAAACCCCAAGCAGAAGAAAAAGCAAAAAATGTATTTAATAGCATGTTAAGAAAACGAAATAATAATAATGATGATAACAGCATAAGAAGAGAGAAAAAAAAAAACTAAAACCCGTAGAAGAAAAATAAAAAAATATTTTTTTTTTATTCCATCGCAATCAGCACCACCATCACCACCACCGCCACCATCACCACCACCGCCACCATCACCATCCCCATCCCCGCCACCGCCACCACCACCGACCACCCTTATCATAACCCAAAAATCTTAACAGGAGATTAATTACTCACTTTTAATAAATTTGTACACGTTGATCCATTCGGATATGAATCCGATGACTCGATTATTTTCATTAGAGAAGATTGTTACCGAACAATTGACTAGTCCAGTTCCAGACGATGGATCGGATACTACATTGACATCGGCTTGAATATCATTGGATGAAGGTTGATAAGAAGAAGAAGAAGAAGAAGAGGAGGAAGAAGAAGAAGAAGAAGAAGAAGAAAAAGAAGATAAATAAGAATTATCCATTCTTCCAGGAGTTTGTATCCTGTTTGAGGAAGGACTTTTTAAAGTAGCCAATAATTTTTTTTTTCCTACAACTGTAAACAAAAAAAAAAAAAGGTACGGATCCAGGTTTAATGTAAAACAAAACAAAACAAAACAAAAAAAAATATATAAAATAAAAATAAATAAATAAAATTAATAATTTAAGCGTGTGATTTATTTAGAAAAAAAAAATGTGATCTCACGTGAGTTAATAAAATAATAATTATTTACAGCGTGTTTTTTGCGTTCAATAATTTAAGAAATTTACAAAAAAAAATTAATATTTACATCCCATTCCCCCTCCCCCCTTCCCGCTCCCCAAAACTTTCCCCTCTCTTTTTCTAAAACAATCATTTTCCTTTCATCTTTTTTTTTTTGATAGAAAATCACAAAAGCGAAAAGAAGAAATTAAAAAAAAAAAAAAAACATTTTTCGATAATAATTTTTCGAAATGATTCTTCCAACAAATTTTTTTTTTTTTTTAACCAATCCTACTAGATTTATTTTTACGACATTTTTTTTCTTTTTCTTCTGCTTTTTCTTCTGCTTTTTTTTGAGACTATAAACTTTTGAAAGGACGGTTAAAAAATTTATTGAAACCCTCCCAAAAAAAATTAAATTAAATTAAATTTTAAAAAAATTCGTTCGACTCCGACTCTGTACATACATATATAAATAAATTTTATTTAAAAATTATGCAACATTATTATTTTTATTTTATTATGTACATAAATGAATTTAATAATGATGATAATAATAACAAAGCTAAAAAATAAATAAATTATTTTCATTTTTTCAAATAAGTATTTGCCAAAAGGATATTTTAGATAAGGAAAATATAGGAATCGTGAATGTTGACGACGATGATGACGTCACAAACAAAATTTCAAAAAAATTTTTTCGCGCCTTTTTTTAAAATAATTTTTTACCTTTAATCAACTTAATTATTCCTCCGCTTCCTTTTTCGTTTTCTTTTCTTTTTTTTTAACGTTTTCCGTTTTATTTTTCGTCACCATTTTTTAATTAATTATTTATTTATTTATTTACATAAATTATCATTCTTATTATTATTATGTAAATAAAATTAGGAAAAAATTATTTATTTAACCGTGAAAAATTTTTAATAAAAATTTTAAATAAAAAAACTTTTATTAAATTATTTTGTCACATATATTGATGCGTTTGTTTCTCGTTTGTTTTAATCCTCATTTGAATATTAATTATTTATTTATAACAACAATAATAATAATAATGATAATAATAGCGTCAAAAATCTTTTATGTTATACGCATTGTTTAATTATTTATTTATTAAAACGTAACATGTATAACTGCGAAGGTGTATATGTAGGCGAAAAAAGAAAAAAAAATTTGTTAATTTTTTATTATCGTTCAAACGCATAACACGTGATCCGATTATTTATTATTATTATTATTATTATTATTATTATCGTCAAATATTAAACAATAAAATAACAACGATAAGAAAATTAATAATTTTCTTTTTTTTTTGTTGATATTTTCGAAATCTAAAATTTTTACATCAAATTTTTTTTATTTTTTATAAAAAAAAAATGTGTGAAAATTTCAAACGTATAAATATTATTATTATTATTATTATTATTATTATTATTATTATTATTATTACTATTTTTATAAAAATTTTCACGTTTTCCTTTTTCTTTTTTCTTTTTTTTTTTTTTTTTTTTCAAAAAAAACAAGAAATAAAAAGCGGGAAAGTGATATAAATAAATTTTAAACTGACTTTAGCGCTTACTGGCAGCAAAAAAAAAAAAAAAAAAAATCAAATTTATTTCCGTTTCCATTCATGCGGGGGGGGGGTGAGGGAGGAAGAAAGTGCCAAAAAGACGGCAAAAAAAATGGAATTAAAATACAAAAAAGAAAACAATAATAATAATAATAAAATGGGAAAAGGAAAAAAAGGAAAGAAAGAAAGAAATGGAAGAAAAAAAAATAACAAAAGGATAATTTATCGTTTACGAAAAAGAAAGAAAAAAAATAAATAAATAAATAAAAAATATTAGTAGTAATAGTAATAATAATAATAATAATAATAATAATAATAATAATAATAATAAAAGGCAATAAAACAAAAAAAAAACGGGAAAAAATGAAATTTGTCCTTTGACTTTAAGAAAAAGAAAATTTTTTTTGAAACCGTGACCTTTGAAAACCTTTTCCAATAATCCAAAATTCGTCGGTTTTGTTATTATAGAGAAAAAAAAAATGGAAAAATTATTATTTGGAAATTCGCCATTTTTACTTTTTTCTAAAATTTTCCAAGTTTATGAAAAATATTCGAATATTTAAAAAAAAAAAAAAGAAACTTTTAAATTTAATGATTATTTTTTGTATAAATATTTATTATAATAAGGGAATGGATAAAAATAATAATAATAATAATAAATAAAATCGACAGCGATTAAAAAAGTGAAAACAAAAACAAAAAGAGAAGGGGAGAGAGAGGGAGAGAGAATGAGAGAGAAAAAGTTATAAATTCAAGTTTTATAATTTTAACTTTTTCTGTAAAATGTGAAAGTTTTACATAAATTACGACGAGTTCATAAAGTCATGAAAACCGGAAATTCTCAACTTTTATCATAATCAAAGCTAAAAACTAACAAAAGTTATTTTTTAATAAACTAAAAAACTAGACAATTTAAACGAGTCTAAATATTTATTACCTGTAATAATAATTCTTTTTCTCTTTCTTTCCCCCCCTTCTGTTTTGTTAAAAAATATTTTTCCATTGAATAAAAAAAAAATAAAATAAAAGGAAAACTAGAGTCTCAATGGAAAAAATTATTTAAAATTATTATTATTATTTTTATTGATTGATAATTATTTAAAACTAAAAAAAAAAAAAAACTTTAATTTTATTATTATTATTTTTTAATTTTTTTTCATTAAGAAAATTTTTTTTTCTCTCTCTTTCCCTCTCTCTCCTTTCGGGAGACATTATTACCCCCTTCGCCCCGCCTCCCCCCGGTATTTTAATTATATTTAATAAATTAATTGTAATTTAAAAAAATAAAAATGTTTTTTTTGTGTTTGTATTTCACGTGCATTATTTTTATTTTCAAAAAAAAAAAAAAAATATTTATTACCGCCTTTTAATTTTGCTGCCGCAACTATTATTATTATTATTATTACTACTTAAGTAAATGTATTCCGGTTTCCTTTCGTGAGTAAAAAAAAAAAAAAAAAGTAACGTTGTTGTCGGGTAGTTAAGCAAACTACCCTTTCTTGACAATACATTTATTTATTTTAAATGTCGCGTGAAATAAAATTAGACTACGCCCTTTTGAATTATAACTTTTACCTTGTTGTAAAAAAAAAATTACTTATCCCCCCACCCCCCCATTCTTTTTCCATTTTTTTAATAAAACAAACAACTACCGCGTTCATTTTATTTTATTTTTTTTCTAACGTTTTCATCATCATTATTATTATTAATATAATTTAAAAATTGTTTGTTTAAATTATGATGATGATGATTAAATGATTATAAAAAAAAAAAAGTTCTGCAAATATTACAACTTTAAAGTATGTCAAATTGGATAATAATAAAATAAAAGGCGTTTGGATTGAATTTTAAAGGGAAAAAAGGGGGGGGAGGAAAAGTTTAAATAATTTAATTTTAACGCTTAAATCAAATAAAAATTAATTTTCTTCTATTTCCGATTTTGAGGAAAAGTGTAAAGAAAAAGAAAAAATTATCATTTCAATATTCTTGGAAGAAAAAAAAAAAAAAAAGGTTAAATATTTTCCGAAACGTTTTTTGAAAACAAGTTTTTCGAAAAGTTCATCTTTTGAATAATTCATTATTCGATTAAAAACATCCTGCCAGGAGCAAAAGAAGGAAAAAAAATTTTTTATTTTTTTTCTACTAGTTTAACTTTTACTCAACGTTTGATCTCGTGAGAATTTTTTTCCGTTATAACAATTATTCCGAATCCTACTTTTTTTTTTTTTTAAAAAACTCGTCATATTCAAAACGTTTTATTTAAAAGACAGCAGACGACAATAACAACAAAAAAAAAAGAAGAAGCAATAATAAAAAAGCAAATTATTATTAATAATAAACTCGAAAAAAAAAAAAAAACCCACAACGATAAAACTTTACGACCGTCTGTAATAAAAAGTTCAAAGGTTAATTTACACACAAAAAAAAAA